TAAAATATCTAAAAATTTAGCTAGATACAGATCTGAAAATATAATTTCGGACTATCAAAATAATTATGTAGAACGCTTAAAACAGTTATTATTAGAATGTCAAAACTTCTTGCAGTATTGTCATCAACGCTTAAACATTCTACGTACAATTATTTTGATAATCCAATAAAATTATTTTCATATCTATCTAAATTTTTAGAACTTCAGCAAAATCATATCCTTTCCGATATCTTCCATCAATTCGTGATTGTCTTAACTCTTTTGTCAAGGCATAATTTTTCACCTTTTCACTATCGTGTTTCACAAGATTTCCGCAAAAAATATAAGTGAGAATAAGATAAAGACAAAACTGTCCTTTGTTGTTCGAAGGGGGGGTTCTTAAAACGTCATAATAAAATTTGCACGAAAAAATAAATTTTTATTGTTTAAAAAATGATGTATAGGTACCAGAGTATTCATGCCTTGAATTATTGCAAAGTGATAGAATTAAATTTAATTAAAAACGCCGATTAGAATGCCACTTAACAGAGTACAGGAATATCTCTATCCAGTTAGACGTCGGTTAGACGCAACCTGACCTGGACCGATACTTACGCGGGTGCGAAGGGATGTAGGGCCGTAGCCGCAGCTGCAGCTGCAAGTTGCCCCGGATTCCTGGCCAGTGCCAAGGCGGCCGCGCTGGTTGGGAAAGTCGCCCTCGCTGCTCCTACTCGGCCACGTTGTATGGCAACTCCTCTAAGTGCCGCAGCTGTAACAACACACACACGCGACACGCGCGTGCATGCACAATTACACAAGATTGCCTACCTGGAAGACTTATGTTGCTATCGAACACTCCGTGGGACTCCAGGTTGCTCTTCGAGGAACCGCGGCGCACATCGACAGCCGGCGAGACGAGGTTTGCGACTTGATTTTATATCCGGTTACGAGACTTAGGAACGATATGTCTGGGAATTAATTCATCGAACGTTTCACTGTTGCGAGGGAATTTGTGAAGTAATAATTTTTCTTGAACATCTAGAAAATTTTTATTCGCCGATCGATCAGCATATTCGACAAACTCGAACAAGCACAATATTAATGTGAAATAGTTTTCTCTTTTGTTTTCATTTGTGGGATATCGTTATTATCATCCTCATTATGTTAAATTTTAATAACAAATTTTTTGGTGAAATTCTAATTAATTTTTCCAGAAATTTAATAAAAAAAGTCGTACTTTTTTATAATTTAAATATTTATAATTCGTATTAATTTATAAATTAATACGTAAATCTCATTTTTTAGATAATTAAATTAATCGTTTAATTAATTATATTAATAATTTAAAACATTTTTACAATGTAATGAATTGTATAAAATTGAAGTTCTTTAAACTTCTATTATTAAATAAATTCAAAATTTTAAAATATTGATGAAAATTTAATAATGAGGTGCGTATATAATAAAAGAAAGGAAAGGACAAACTGGCTGTAGTTGGAATAGAAGATCCTTCTTTTTAACGTGCTTATAGCACAATGTAAAAAATAAACATATCTGACTCTGTCAGCGCAGAGAAAGCTTTCGATCTAAGAGAAGCTGCGGCACGAGCAGGAAATTTTGTTCTTCCTATCAAAGATTGGCTTTGGAGAATTGCGCCCAAGAAGTAAATACGAACATCAGAAAACACCGGAGAATCTCGTGGCGTAAGAAAAGAAAGGATGTGGCAGAGCGCAGAGAACTTCAGAAAATCGAAAATAGGAAAGTTTGCTTCCTCTATTCAGCTTGTATTTGACATTCAGGAATAGCTTGAAAGGAAAGAAACGACTACGAAACTTCGCGAAACGAAATTCATCTAGAAGAAATGGCTGCTTTACGAGTAGATAAATTTTCGGTGCGTTTTATCGTTATTTGCGATCTACTCGCAAAGGGTCGCTACAATTTCCTTCAACGTAAATAGAAGGATGATTTCCGCGAGTGGCAAAATTCACGCCTTGAAGTGAAGCTTGCGTGATCGGTGTGAAATCCTCGAAGCTTCGACGAAGAATGATGTCAGAAGCTAGGTAGTCTGGCAGATTTCGATGACAATTGAGATTTCGCGAATTTATCAAAATTAAACAAGAAGATAAAAAGAACTTTCGAAGATTGGCAACGCCAAATGTAATGATTTAGGCAGCAGCCCTAGATCAATATTATTGTACAACATTATTGATGTATGAAAGCTATATTGAAAAGCCTCCGACTCAGGATAACAAATTTCTCATCCTAAAAATCTTTTCCTGATTTCCAAATAAAATTTCACAATTTTTCTTGAATCTTTCAGTAATATTTTAAAATTGTTTGTATTTTCGTCCTGATTTTGGAAATTAAATTTTATTGAAAGAAAGACAGCAATATTAATTATTATTAATATTGCTGACAGTGCTTGCATTTAATTATTAATTGATAATATTCCAAAACTGCGGTAGATATAATGTATTGCATATTAAATTTTTTTTGAAACCAAGAATTTTAATGCTCCTAAAAATTTTAATAATTCCTTGATTTTTCCTTGATTTTCATGACTGTTATCAATCTCTCTAACATTTTCCTAATTTCCACTTTTGTGGTACTCTGCGACTGTTTGTTTCGAAGGGAGGGATTAGTAATATTACAAATTAATTATACGGCAGCTTAAGATACTCTGTAAAGTTGATGAGCTTGTTTTTTCATTTGGTCTCTACAGAGGTTTTCGAAGAGAATTTTTCCGATGGAAGTTGAATAGACGGCGACGTGGATGTCACGACTCGATCCGTCCACATTGTGTAGCAGCTGCCGGTTGCATGATCGACGCCAGCCTTCGTAAGGGGAAGAAAGACCACGGATACGCGCAGTTCCGGAAGCTGACGATGCACAACGGTGGTTGCAGGGCTTTCTCGCTCGGTGATGCATTTCAGATTCGTAGCAGTGAGCTTTCGCTCGGTAAATTTCAATGAGATTGTGGAATATTAACCAATCCTTATATTTCGAAGAAGTGGAAAATAATCGAGATTCTATTATCAGCAATCTCGTAGATTGCAAAACGATGAAGAATTGCACTCGGAAGACGATAAAAAAAAACGAATAAAATAATGCTCCTTGATTTGACATACTTATAGAATGAAAATATTATTTCTCCAGATAATAAAAAGTTATTCTCAAAATTGCAGAGATATAAAAAGAATTAGGTCAAAGATGTTATAACTAGATCATTAGATCTAATTATCTATATTATTAAATAAGAATATCAATCTGCCAGAAAATAGATAATTTATCGGGCTATGATATGATGAATTAAACTTCTGAGATATTTCTTAATTTACGTTTTGAGCATTAATAGATGATGTAATTGGAGGAATCATATGGATAACCCTGATGGATGGATAGTGACTTTAATGAATTGCTGTTGTATTGACGGCAACGACAAATGACATTGAGTTATCGACATATCTGACAAAAAAAAAAGTTGGGAAAACAAACTCGGCGCGATGAGAAGAATCCTTTTTATCTCCGGTTGGTCCAAGATGGAGCAATAAAATCTAACGATTCTGCCTACCTTTTCATCGGCACCAAGTCATCTCGTTCGGATCAGCTGCTGATGGAGCGATTTAACAAGTGCTTTCTCATTTATATATATGGTTCACCTCGAAAAATTCACCTTGAAGAGAATAAAGTTTATTAAAGAAATGAATCTTTTGATTTCTTAAAAAAAAAATAAATGATATAAAAATGATATTTTGTATTGCAATCTACTTATATTTATATGTTACTGATTATATAGTATACATATATTTAAAATAAAATCCATGTTACTAAACAACGAAATTTTTCATTTAGAAAATTCAATCGTGAGTTGTAAATAAAATGTTACAAACTTATTTCTTCAAAATTAAAAAAAGAATACGACAATCGTGAAAACATATCTCTTCAAAGTTCTGATAATCAAAATTACATCGAAAGTATAACAATCATATGCACTGTTGTTAGACTAGTGGGTTCAATTACATGAGCAGCACATCAACAGCATCCTCAACAGACAACTACTGTGCAGGTAACGCGCGTGATGTTAGCGCAAATCAAAATGTAAGTTAACGATCAACGACGAAGGGTTGGTTCATAAGTCGGCTTGATCGCCGGTTATCTAAAGGCGGGTCAAGAACAAGAGCGTGATGCATAAAATAGCAGGCGCATTCCAAAAAGAGGAAGGTGGTTTGTGTGTAAGGGGCCGATGTTTACAACTGCATGAACTCCATTTTCCTACAGGCTCGCGTGATCTGTGGCACAGAAGTGTGATTACTAACATTGCCGGCATATAAATATGTACATTTTATGGATTTTTACTTATATTTTCAATTATTAAAACACACAGTTTTTAGTTCGCGTCTACAAAATATTAGGTGTTGGAATTAATTCGTAGCGTTTTTAATGAAAGAATGTTATTTATTTCACATGAGCATTAAAAAATACATTAATGAAAGTACTTCCCATCACTTGTAAAACGCTACGAATTAATTCCAACACCTAATAATATTCTGCAAATTTTTTTATTTAAAAGAAATATTTTTATTTTATTTTATTGTAAATGACTTTTTTGATAGTCTGTTACGTCAATTCTTCCGTGTCGACTTTCTGAAAATATCGATATAGTGCATTGCTGTCATTTTATCCTAGTTCGTACGATATAACAGTTTATCGCAATCCGTTTTTCGAAATTCACGTGTTACTCTACATCAAAGTAAGCGAGGCACATATTTTTGGAAAAAAAAAAAAAAAAATTTCGTACACACGACACTGACATTTCGAGAATGCGACACACACGACGACCGACCATTCGATTCATTCCGGATATGAATTTAAAAGCCAACCGTGCTGAACGCGATTGCTGTCTTCGGCCAAATTTTACGAGTGCGCGTGACACGCCAATTAGCGGCTATTAATTAATCGACTGTGCACGCTGTGGCAGATCGTCCGACACGCCGCGCCGCGCCGGTTCGGAGAAGATCCAAATTTATGGAAATACGGTCCGGCGATAACATGATCCGACGAAGAGTAGAGAGATTACACTCGCAAACAATGAAAAAATTAAATGCGCCATCGCCATCCTTTAATCGCCTGCTTGTCCCTTGTTCGAAATCGTACGTTGCATTAGCGTCATCAATAATTTTTGCGATAACAAAAGTTTCCCGTTGAACCGCACGTTGCAAATTCCGTGCAAACAAATGGACTTTTCGTTACGCAAATTTAATTGAAAACCAATGAGCTTACGAATTAAATATTAACCCATCAGCTGCCGCGAAGTAAAACGTTTCCATCTCGTATGTATTTCGATTCATTTGCATTTGCGCGCGTAATCATAAATATGTAAAAGCAAATTGTTACACGACATAAATAAATTTTTCATGACTCGATAGAAATTGTCTAATTTTTTAAAATGCATTATTGTGATCTTCTTAAACAATTTTAATTATTATAAAAATGTTTTAATTATTGTAACTACTCAATTATTATAATTTAATTATTAAAAACACGATTTAATTTTTAATTATTATATTCTTATTAATTTTAATTTTCTTTCACACTAACATTATTGTAATATTCATATCGAAAACTAATAATTTGTTGTCGATTTTATCACATATTAATTTCGCTTGAAAATGTAGTTATAAGAAATGTTAGTAGAAATCCATGCGATTATTTCCGGCCACAGATCGACCGCCGCCGAGAGCTCCCTAAACATCCGATCGAGTTTGACTA